ACTTAAAGTAATTTCTATACAATATTACCAAACCTATGCAGACTTGAGTCTTTTTGAAATTTAATATGAAACTCAATTACAGAAAATCCGTAAATATCCAGAGATTTAATATTTACTTTTTTAAAGAAACATATAAAAATCCTACAATTGTGGCAAAAAAAAAGCCATTGCCTTTCCACGAAACGAAGCAAAATAGCAATGATAACAAATAAGCTAAATTCTCTCCCGTGAACCATTGTGGAGATGAGCTATGATATACTTTTTTGTATAGACTAAAGAGTTTAATCGATCAAACAAGTTTGACGCTGGTAAGAAAACGACGCATATCTGCATTCATAGATGTGTAGCCGACATATAGCTCTTTCATCGATAGTTATAAATACATCCTCGTAGCAGCCGATAACTGGAAAGCTAGGTTGACTCGCTGTTACGAATTGTAGGTTTTTATCGTGATTTTCATCAAAAAATTGCTTGCCGAATCCCAAATACACACATACATTTTCTTCATTCTTTCCTCAGGAGGGAGTGGGAAATTATGAAATTTTCGGAAAAGCGGTCGATTTCGGTAAATCTCAGCGGCAGCGGACGAAATCCGCCATTTTTTTGGCATCATCACATATCTAAGGCCGCGCTTGAGATAGCCGCTCCAGTTATTATAGAACTCAATGATTACTATACAATTTCGGCGGAGTCAGATATCTAGTAGATTGGGTTCTAGGTCATTGTATGACGCGTGCATAAACCACATGGAGTTCGGCGTATTTTTTATCGAAAAACAATACAAGAGATTGTGGCAGATGTTCACAGGCGCGGTCACAGCCTTTTCATTTGTAGTGTGTCGTTTGTATCAAAGTCAACTTCTCAAAGCGTTAAGTCGAGTTCATTAACAATTTAAATTCGAAAAATTTGCGTTCTGCGAAAATTAAATGGTCTACAATGTCACAGCTGCTTTAACCCAAGTGAAATAAAGGAACAGCATTTGCTTAATTGAACGTTATTTTAAATAAGAATACTTCGTTTTTTAAAGAAATTAGATCTGTTTCGTGCGCTGAATGAGTTAAAGATGAAGGATAAGAAGATTAGATCCCTTATTAACTGTTAATTCTAATGCATCTGCACATAAATGTCGATGTTGTGACGTGTTTAGCAAACGAATATAACGAAAAAACTATTTTATGCACTAATGACTTATGTATAGCACTAGCACAGAACTTTTGATATTAACTTCTCTATTTAGGACATAAACAACTGAATTCATGAAAACAAAAGTGCTGATGTTTTTAAACATCGATTGTTTTATTACTTTCTTCTGCAAAAAATTTTTTATCAAAGTATTGGTCTTGACATAAAAAGTTTTTTCCGATTATTTTAGTAATAACAGGATTTCAAATCAGAAAATGAACAGACTGGGAATGACTATTATTAACAGATCTTCAGCTATTTATACGCAAATCTTTCAATTTGAAGAAGTCCGATAAACATTAATTAGTTTAATATTTTTCAAATGAAAATAATTCCTTTTCCCAACACAATATGAAAGGCACAACTTTTTCAAACCGGTATGAAAATAAGTATGAGAATAAATACCTGACTGCAAATGTCGGATACTAGCGAGTGTTTTTTCACTTTCTTTGTTTCATACTTTTGTATTAAGCCGCATGCCAACAAATAAAGACAGTATGTAATTTGCAATAATTTATATAGACGAGTTAATGCGATCACGTTTTATATCTCGTCACTTGTGTAAGCGTGTCATTTTTTGTTGCTATGGAAACATACAGTTCCCAAGATTACTAGAGAGAAAGTTATAATCAAAACCACGAAAAAGTCAATAATTATAATGACTTGCTACTGATGCTTAAAATTGAAAACTCAATTTTCGTACGCCTTTAAAATATGATTTCCAAACTTAAATGACATGCAAAAATTTCATCCAGTACATAGAATTTCATTATTTTGGACTGAGGGTAGCTATATCCATTTCGGAGTTTCAAAGACCGATATACTGCCCAAAGAAAAAAGCACTTTGAACATTAGCGGTTAAATATATGCCAAATAAATTTAATTTTATCTTAGATCCACGTGGACGATAATCTTAATACATTTAAATCTGCTGTGAGGACACTAATTTCGAAAAAGATTCGTAAGGATGAAAAATATAAATGTAGATATACATATACGTATATAACTACACTAACTTGACAATTTAGAATTAAAATATTTTGACGTTTGCAGCGTCGGTATAACTAGGAGTGATTTAATTGACTGGGAGTTTTTTATGGCAAGTTGCATTTTGAAGACAACATTTAATTATTGTGTTTGCAAAAAAAAGTGAAAAAGTAGTCTATTAAATGCTTTTGACGTTCTGTGTAATAATCGCAACTGTTGCTTTGTGAAAACTGAAAAAACAAACAACTTTTACTTTATTCAGCGGTTGTTTTCATTACCATATGCTGTTGCAATATTTCAAACAATGAATATCTGTTACTGTAAGGACTGAAAAATTAAACTTTCGTAAGACAGATTAACAATGGTTAATCTTAAGTCCTTAGTATAGAGTTATAGTCTCGATCTTGTGCTCATTTCAACCTCGAATCATGTTTTTTCTATAGACCAACCCAAGATTTCTTACCATTTTGGAGAGTGACTTTAGCTTAATACCACCATAGATAATGTGGCAAGGTTTGAAAAAGGTATGATTGCAATGAAAATATTTTAGATTTCGATTGAAGTTTCAATATATTGAATATTAAAGCTGACTGGCGTGAAAACCGGGCAGACAACAAAAAAGCTCATTTTTTGTCTTTCGATTTCTCTGCTGAGAAAAATATAGCGAACAAAAATAAAATAAAATTACTTATGTCTTATTTTCTCTACAATCAAGCAAAGAAACAAAAAGTTCTTTATGCAGAAATATTTGTTTCCTTTTGTGAAATGAATTGTGGGCAATCGAGTGTTAATGTTGTCAAATTTTTAATGCTGATTGCTTTTGTTGCATCGATATAAAACACGTAAATATTCGGTGAGACTTTATGACAAGTTGCAATGTCAGCAACTCTTGAAAAGGTACTCAATGACAAAAAAATGGCCTTTCATCAATAAAGTTTTCTGCCTAGTTCACATAAAGTTGTCATTGTTGTAATTCTATTGTCAATAAAGGTTTACCACAATTACAATATAATTAGTGTGCAGGCAATGACAAATCTTGTACGAGGATAGATTTCTTTAAAATACTTAAGCATTGCTTTCTTGAATAACTCTCTTCATGGCCAAATGGGATACGACCAGAATTTTTAATGTAATAAGTAATCCATGTTATGAAAATTCTGCACTTATCAGATTGACACTGATCTGCTGTTGTGGCTAGCTTTTCCAAAATGCCCAATCTCAAACCGAGTATACTTTTTGGAAAAAATACTGTGGCCATGTTGATGTTAAGCGTACATGCGTAACTACTAACACCGTGATGCACGGCAGACTTTCTAAATGAAAATTAGTAAGGCATATGGTCTGTTGCAGTTACTTGAATAAATAACAACAAATACCACTGTGTGAGAACTATAGGTTTTACTCTAGCCTAAGTGGGAATTTTCAACGGTAATGCTATGTATTTAGGTAAAAAATCGCTCATAGAATTTCGCAAATTTGACCAATTATGTACGCCACATTGGCTTTTTCGAGCAGGCAAGTGTAACTAGCTTATTACAGTATATTCCTGTAAAAGGACAGGAGTAACTGCGTTGCAAAGCAGTGAGCTTTATTTATGAATGTTCTGTAAGTTACAAAGGCTGTGAAATGAGCGTCAAGCTGCGTTGTGTTGTTCCTTAATGTACAAAGCAATTCAGGAAGACAAAAGGTTGAAATATAACTTTATCATAGGGTACCAAGTGATACAATGAAAAAGCATTTGGTTGCGATACATCAAACAACAACCCTCATAAATTGAAAACTTCTTTGTATGTTTCAACACTGGATAATGTTCAACACCAGCAATAGTTCACAATTCACTTGAGCATAGGGAAGGTGCATGGAAGCGATGAGAATCATTTCGAAACATTTTCCGCTATGATAACTTGGATGGAAATAATGACTTGCAACGTTTTTTTCTAATTCCAGTGGCAGTGATGAGAGTGAAATTTAAGATGACGCTATTAACTCAATAAAGGGGGAAAATAGAATGCTTTTAAAAAAGAACTTGATAAGCTTTTTGTGTTCTGTCCTCAATGAGGATGCATCATCACAACTAAAACAAACCATTACAAAGGCAGCATGAGGCTAATGAAAACTGCATGTCTACATGGGCATTGCTACTTTGTTCCAATGTTCCCATGTCCCTTTGTTCCTGAAGAAACCTGTCTAAGCAATGCCATTTAGTTATCTTTTAAACATGCTCCAAAGCATTTTAGTTTAAATGGAATGGTAGCATGCACCCAAACAGACGATTCTTGATCACAATGCTCATGTACACAAGTAAACTGGACAAACAGTTTTCAAAAAGGAGCACATGACTGTCGTGTAGTTAATTCCCTAATCAATTGTGATATTTGAATTAAATATTCATATTATTAGAGTAGTATTTCAATAGCTGTACATAGGTGTTTAGGGCATTCATTAAATTGTCTATGAACAAGCAACGCTACAATGATCTTGTTTGCTTATTAAATTAGAAGAAAACGACAGATGATGTTTGTGATTTACTTCTACCAAAAAAATTAAAAAATATCTTACCATAGCTTTAGCATAGAGATGCTGTAGCATATCAAAAAGAAGTTGCAGATAAAGCACCTCCTTACCATGTAATAGTCATTGTAGAAACAAGGTATAAGAGTATTGGCTCTCTTCATTTAGCATTGAGAGAAAGAATTACGAACAGTAAAAATCACTGAAAGACCTAGAGAAACTCTCTGGAGCAATGGAATTTTACGCTCCTAAACGCGAGCATTTCTGTTGGATGACGCAAGTTGTTCTTTCAATTGAGGAGAGAAGGAAATTTGCACAAGCACAAGCCTGTCACACAGGCAGCATGTATTGCAGGGATTTTTTCAGTTCAAATTGATAAGCCAATTCGACTGGTAAGAATCCTATAGATCAGTCAGTCATGTGGGAAAACAATAAATGCAATTAAAGACACTTAAATAAAGTTAAGTTTTAATTAATTGCTGAATACCGAAGAATTCTCATAAAAATAGCTCAGTGTTTTTACATGTTGTTTGGATTGTGTTCAGGTAAGGGTTTTTATTATATTTATTATATTGACTGAATTGTGTTAAATATCGGTAAAGTGGTGAAATGAAAGCACTGTTTCCAACTTTACAAAGCTAGACAAATCCTTTTCAAAGAAAAGCAAACGATCTTGTTTGTTTATGAAAAGAGAAGAAGGCCAAAGATCTTCGTAATTTACTTCTACCAAAAAAATTGAAGAAAATTCGTACTACAGCTTTAGCATGGAGATGCTTGAGCCTAATGAAATCGAAATAGCAGAGAAAGCAGTATTATATCATATAATAGTCATTGCAGAAATAAGTAAATTTAACTTAAATGAATTATTTACAATTCTCTCGGTCACACATCTTGTACATGGTACCTCGAGACTGCTCCTATGAGAAAACCCAACTGAGTCATCACCCTGACTGCTTCCCTGAGAAGAAAAAATCCCAAGCTGACTCGTCTTTTACGAATGAACTTCAAAGGAGTGCTTTAGCAGAAAAATCATTGCGACGATAATCAGTTACGATTATTATTAGTGATCGTAAAAACTAGAGAGATTTCAAGATTCCCTATTTCAAGATTCACTTCAGAACTGTGCGAAATTATTCAACCCAATTAACAGTTGTCCCTGATCTTACATAAACTTGAAGATCTATCCGATGCAATGCCATATGTGAAGTCTGTAATGTATAATGTGAAGACTAGTGTATTAATTCATACATACAACAAACGCAGGGATTAGTTCCTTTGAAATGGATGGCAATAGAGTCAATAAAAGAATCTTTATACACAGAAAAAAGTGACATGTAAGTTTTGTACATCGTAAGATGCGATATAGTTAGTTATTTGTTTTGCTATGCTGTAATGATCATGATTTCCTATAGATGGTCCTTTGGGATAGTACTTTGGGAGCTGTTTACGTTGGGTATGCTGTTTAAGATTGGAAAGAGCAAACGTCCTTTATAATGAACGCAATTACACAAAATTCTCCTGACCTAAATTACTCTTAGAAATTACAAGATATTTAAACATGTTTATATAGGAGGAACTCCATATCTAGGAATACCTGATTCCGAAGTGTACAAAATTTTGCTAAGTTGGAAACGTATGGAGCCACCTATTCATTGCTCTGAAGAAATGTAAGAACATATATAGCTTATTAGTCACCAAATCTTGTTCATTTTACTTCAGCAAAACATGCTGGGAGAAATAACAAAATGTGAAAGTGTAGCTTACTTGGCTTGTCTTTTTAAGTCAGAGTGGATTACTTAAGCAGAATTCCATGCAACGTTCAATACTATTCATAAATGCACTTTGGGTTGTCAAACAGTAATCATAGAACAACTATTTCTGGAAAATATTTAAACGCAGTGTGTAGACAAACAAAATTCTGCCGGTGTGAATAGATTGTACAGAATATATCAATGTAACATCACATTTTCAGCAGCATTTGCGAATTGCTCATGTTCTAGATTCAAGAAGCGAACCTCCTTTTAATACTAACCTTTACTTTTGTGTGGATGAAAACTGAACATGGGATGATTGGAAAATGGTCATAATAGTGGACATGTATGTTCTTTTAATTTCATGAATCCACAGGTCTTACCTGATGATGAAATGTTGGAATGAAAACCCAGAGTTGAGACCTACATTTTTGGAGGTGAAAGATAGGTTTGATGTTCTCATTTCGAGCAACAAGGTACATATCATATTATTTCTATCGCTGATTCAGTGACGAAAAGTTTTGGAATAATTTAATCCACTATTGTCATAGCTGGCATCCTTTTTCATACAAGAATTACCAAGTTATAAGAACAAAAAATATTTAGTTGGACGTCATCAGTAGGTGACGCAAATGCAATCACAAGAATTTCATATTTTTCAATTTTAGAAACTAAATCTTGATGAAAAAATCTATGTCAATGAAAACATTATTAAAAACGAAAAGAAAGAAAATTTTTCTTGCAAAGGAGTAAAGGTATTGTCCATGACTTAATTTTTTTTATTAAACGTGCTGACATTAGAAGTATTTCACTCAAACAGAAAGAAAAAATGGTGATTTTTACTGTAAATAATGATTTAAATCATACTGTGAAGATAAAGTCACAAACAACAAAGTAGCTATGTTATTTAAGATAACTAAAAAATTAAATTTACGTTCAAGAAATAGGCATTTTATCATTGAAAAAAATTTAGATATTTCATGCACAGAATTCATTATACTAAGTAGACATTTTTTACGATGAAGGTCTATATGACAAAATTAAGGCAAATTATACAATAGTAGTGTTGTCAAACTTTAACAAATGCACTACCAAATATGAAGGTCATATCATTGGAATTGTCTCTATTTTTATTCCATTGATTTCTTCCCCAAACTCTACAGTTTTCATAGTCGTATCTTGATCTTTTTCTTCATTTTTCCAATTCTAAGAATAATAAAGTTTTGCAATCAATGCATTGCATGCTATCTGTGCTATTCACTTTATGTCTTCAAAAGATGAGAATGAATAACAAAGATCAAATCTCCTTTTTTAATTTGCTCTCTGTAATAAATTGGTTCTTTTGGATTCTTCCCTGATTTTAGAGTAAAAAACACGAGTTTCTTTTATGTTATTTTAGCCACAGAGATCACTGAAGATTGACAATGAGGTGTCCTATATTTATTTATTCAAGCCCTACCTAAATAGTTTGTATTGAAATCATTACTGATTATGAATTAGAATAGTTTTTAACATTATTACTATGCTCCATGTTTGTATAATGTAATCGTCCAAGTTAGTAAAGTCCTGGAAAAAGACAGTATTATATTCATGTAAATGGACGCTACAAAATAAACCTTTGAGTATATATTCAATAAAATATTTATTATCAACTTATTATTAAGCCTCAAATGTACCTCAAAAGCTTCATTCGGCGAAACTACGGAAACAATTTCTTCCAACACTCTCTTCATCTCTTCAAATGTTGGACGAAGTTGTGGATTTTCATTCCAGCTTGTCATCATCAAATCAACTCTGTAAATATGAATAATGTAATTTGGGTGTGCTTTTCACTAAATAAATTATGAATTTTAGCAAATCCGGATACACGTTACTGACATGTATTCCTGGATACGGAGTCCCACCTGCAGGAAATAAAAGGAGTGCAAGCGTTTCGTGCACTTGGTATTGTATTATTAAAACTCACGCATATAGCTTTTTCATGCAATAAATGAATTATTTTCTCTAGCACAATAGAAGCAAAGAGGAAGAGTACATTTTAAACATATCAATCAAATCAATCACATGCAATTGCAAAAAATGTTTAACGTTGGCACAAATTTGAAACTTTGCTTTGTCCAAATGGATTCTTGTTTTGTTTTGGATTCAAAACGGAAAAAGAAATCTATACAGCAAATCATTTTGATCATGTTTCAACAGCATATACAATATTATCTTCAAATCCTTAAAGTTTGGTTTCACAACGAGCAAAATACAAAATACTTCACAACGGACAATTTCGTCAATTACTTCAAATCAAAGAGAAATGTTTTCTTGCAATATAAATGTTTTATTTTATTCGTTCTAGATTTGTGGTTTTATTTTCTGTATTCCAAAGCTTGGAATATTGTAAGAGTGAAGAAGTAAGAAAATATAATAATGATTTTAATCAAATTTTATCAGCTTACCCAAAGTAAAAAGTTACCACAGAACAACTCCAAATGACCATCTAAACCAAGTTAACGCAATGGCAAATGAGTTTCTAAGAAATAAGTAGCATTTTATCTGGCGCGACTTACATATCTGTCTTTTCCGTATAAATAGAATCTCTGATTGACTCGATTGCCATCCATTTTATAGGAAGTAATCCCTATCATGAAAGAATATGTCTATTATGATGTACGATAAGAATGATCCTAAAAAGTAACCATTGAAAGCATAAAGTTTAAAGGAAACACTAACTGGTGTGTTTTTCTTGTAAGCTTGATACTTGTAAATATCTCTTGGCAAACCAAAGTCTGCAACTTTTGCTGTGAAATCTTTACCAAGTAGTACATTGCGTGCAGCCAGGTCTCGATGAACGATCTGTTGTTAGAGCAAAATAACTCATATCAAGTTGTTCTCCAATGTTCTTTTGACTGGGAACAAAATATGTGAATGGGAAGTGAATGGAAGTTACTTGTTTCTTAAAACAACAGCTCATGTAGTCGGACTGTTGTTTAAATTGGAAGGCTTGAATGCTTTAATGTGACAATATTCTGAATTAAATCAAACTGAAAGAGAAAAATCCAATTTAATTGTTGCACTTAATTAGCATAATATGCAATGGCTAAACAAAACTCCGCGGTGATACGAATGTTAATGTTAAATTGTAAAATTAAAAACGTTAACTCCTAACAACTTGCTATCAAAATTTCCAAAAGAGGATCAATGAACACAAAAAAAGTTAAAGCCAGGAAGATACTTTCTGTTAAATGCTGTGTAAAATAGTTAATGGCACAGAAATTGCATTTTATTTGTTAAAAAATGTTGTTGATTGTTGTTTTGGGTAATTGTGTCAACAAGGGATTTTTCATGATATTGTTCATAACGCTTGTTACTGTGTGCTGTGTAACGATATGACACATAATTTGGTGGAGAAGTTCTTGTTACCTTCCTTGAAACTAAGAATGCCATTCCTTTTGTGATTTGATAGGCCAACTGAATTAGATTCTTAGGTCCAAAATCTAATGATAAATCATTCATCAGGAATTCTTCATCTTTATTGTATCTGTCTCGACTGTCACGAGGAAACTGACGAAGATTTCCGTGTTCACAGAATTCCATTATAATCCATAAACTTGTTGTTTTACCTGTTAATAAATCCAACAACTTCGTGATAACTTTTGAATAATGATACAATGAATATAATATCTTTGGTGTGATTAATTGAGCATATAGAAGGCTATAATGTGAATCATATTTGCCTAAATATTTTATGAAGTAATACCGTCTATTTGTACAAGTCTTTCAGTGAGCATGAGACTAGCTGTGACTAGCTGGTACTATAGGTATTTCAATTCACTCAAGAAAGCATTATTTTTATGTTTTGTGAAGTTTTAGGTTTTATGTCAGCATTCATGTCAGAATATTGCTCATGTCTTAAACTATTATTCAGGACACTAAAATTTTATGATTATACAAACCAAGATTTACTTTGCATACTTTTAGAAACAAATAACACTGCCTGGTATAAGGAAAGCTCTAAACCTCTACATTCTATGTTATGAAAATTTTAAAACTTTACATCATCAAATTGACACTTTATCAGAATTTTCCATCCACTAAACTTTAAGGTGGATCAATAGGGAAAAAATGTTGAAAAATGAGTTTTTTTGAAAACAGTATTATCCTATAGTAAAAGCCTTGATCTTTCATATACAATACGGTTTTTAACCCAAAAATGATTTTAAAGGCATTTTTTAATATTTTATAACACATACCAGAATATTCTAATTGGTTACCATGGAAACCAGTTTAAATTTTTTTTAAAAACACCCCTCAAATTTAGTGTAGTGGTTGAAAAGTTCAAATTATGTGTGCAGAGAACTGGTATCTAGCTTGAATAATATGCCTGGCTGCTAAGCTAATTTCGAAATTCAAGTGCATAGAAAGCAAAGAAAGACGTTTACTTGTTTATGTTCGTGCCATCATGCCTCCTAAAGGAAAATTTGTTAGAAATGCTAGGAGAAAACGTAGATTTCATGGAAATCGCTTTCTAAAAGTTGAACTTTTGCCACCATAAATGCCAACCTTTTGTACAAGCTCCCAGAATATTCACAATATTTTCATTTTCGCCAACATGAATCAATATTTTTAACTCTGACTGCAAATCAATGACATTGTTTGGTCCCCAACATCTATATTAATATCGATATATAATATAGTATATTGTATAGATAGTATATTTTATATAAGCAATGTATGATGTACCATCCAGGATTTGGGTGTGCACAAATTTTTCGAATTCACTTTAGTTGATACATAAATACTAAAAAGAATGTTTTATTCGAAACAAATGAAGAAATTCTTAACTAACTTTTTAGATGTATTAGAATCATCAAAACCCAAAATGAAATCAGAAGCATTTAAAGAAAAAACAAAACAAGTTTTGCATGAATCAGTAAACATTAGTTGAAAGGAGGGACTAATTATAAATAGTCAAATCAATGATCATTTATTTCAAAGTATTCTATCAAAGCGTAAATGAATGCGAGAATTGAGGAATAAAGAACTAGAAAATTTTTAAAGCCTGAAAGACAATATTACAGCAATACCTTTGGTTTTCTTCACAGCAACTTTAGTAACTTCTCTGCTGTACACGTAGCTGTTTCTTTTGACCATTCTGTTAATGAAAGGAAACCTTCTTCGACTTCCTTTCTCTCTCAGGATGTCTCTTGGATGAAATGCTGAAATACCAACTGCTTCTGCAAGCCAAACTACCCCAAATTCACCAGATCCAAGCTCATTTACTACATAAAACATAATTTCAGTTTTACTACTATATTGTGAATGGTTTGGACTAGGAGTATCGTTACACTGTGGATGTAGATCGTCCAAGTTAGTAAAGTCCTGAAAAGGACAGTTTGGTGTTGATCTTAACTGACGATTCGACAACCCAGCGGTAGTCATATTCAGAGTCAAGAGAAAATGACTACCGCTAAGGTTGTGAAATGTCAGTCAGCATCAACATCAACTGTCCTTTTCGAGCCTCTATTAACCCTGACAGTCTACATCACAATATTAATCATATTTTCAAATTCAATTAAGCCTATTAAACAGAATAATGAAGCAAAACCATTCAAATGGTAATCAATGACAACTTTGTAATAAAATAATAAAATCAACCAAGGAAAGCAAAGCAAAAGAAAGGTGAACGATTTCCAACAAGAACTAAATGTAAATGTGAAATTTATCCTTTCAATAAAATAGAAATTTTGGGCGAGTTAACGGAAATGGTAAAAGAAGAATTTAAACTTCAGTAGAGTATGCCTGCTTGTTTATAGTACTACATGCTTGGCAATTTTTTCACTCATTGTACAACAACTTACCAAAAGCGCTCTTCAATCTATATAGCACCTTAAAACTTGCAGGCAGACTACATCACTGATTGCAATTGATAACTAACTTACTGAAAGTTATTTCTGGGAAATTCCCACTCAGGTATAAATGGAAGCTTTTCTGTTTGTTCTTGTGTATTTCCATTCATAACAATCTTTCAATGTAGTCAGACATAGGAGGATAGTAAAGGAGATAAAACCACCATATAAATTTTCTTCCTTTTGTACAATACATGAGATGTGATGAACAAAATGACGAAAGAAAGAACGCCAGTAGGTATAACAATTATTTTCATGGTTTTCGTCGATCGTTGTCCATTGACAATGTTAACTTTATAAATGGAAACAATACTTTATAACGTGATTATGCTAGCAACAGCAGATAACAGACAGCTCTTGACACAAAACATTTATGAAGATAAGGCTTTTTACAAACGGAAACAATACTTTACAATATGCTCATGCCAATAACAGAAAGCTCTTGCCAGAAAACGTTTATGAACATTATGTGAAAATAAAATTTCTATTTTTATTGTGCTGCAGAGTGAAAGATATTTTCCATGTTTTTTTATTGTTTTATTTTTACTCCAGTCTTCATTAATGCCTTGTGATTTTGCATTGATACGACATATATGTCTTAATTGTTTCACGCATAAAAATTAAACAGTTGTGAATATGAAGTTCAGGGCTGTAGTGAGATCGATAATTTTAAGGAGTCGTTTCATATACTCAAGTTATAATCTATAGAAACAATGGATTTCAAAGGAACTTACTACGGTATGTAATGCATGTATGTATATGAGCGCCCTCAAATTATCAATCTTACTAAAGCCCTGCATGGGTATATTCAAAGACAGAAACTCTGAAAATTTTCAAAACAAAACAAGATCGATGAGAATGACCTGCCTTATGGTTTGGATTCCTTGATTACTGTTATTATTGGTGATATATCTGTTCCACCTGTATTGTTGGCCGTACAGCGATACCTGCCCTCATTCTGTACTGTTAGCGAATAGTTGGATAAAATATATTTCCAATCTTCGTTATTGTGTTCTTTACAGAAATCAAATTTGCAGATGAACCATTTGAAGGTTACTGGTCGTTGGTTATATATTTTGTTTAGCCTACAGTTTAGAACCGAAAATCCTTTCTTCAAAACTATTGCTTGCTCGTTGATTTCAATTTGAGGTGCAACTACAAATAAAAAAAAACATCGAGGAAAACAAATTTTCACCCCATCATTGTTGGATCTAGGGCAAGTTTAAGTATATTAAAACACTTATTTAACACTATAAAGTTTCTTTACAGCAAATGCCGTTTCATTTGCAAAGCTTTGATCTTTTTGGATTAGCAAAGACTTACTGTTTTCATCAGTAGCAATTACGCACTCATTTGCATTTATATTCTTTTATTTTATATTGAAGAAATGTTGGAACTGGTTAAAATAATTCAACCAGTTTCTTAAAAGAACTAACCGAGGACTTGTATTGAAATGGTCTTCATCTCATATCCTTTGATATTGGTGGCATTTATCTTGTAGAATCGATTGTATTTAGGAAATGTGACAGATTTAACTTCAAACTTGCTTCTTGTTATATATTCTGGTCCTTTGTGGTTTTTGCACAGGTTATTAGCAGAATAACAACTTGTTATGAGTTCATCATCTTTTAAATGCCACCAAAAGATATCGGCAGCAGGATAAGACGTTACGTTGTAGGTAAACGTTAAATTTTTTCCTTCACCAATGGAAAACACGTCGGCGTCATTTTCAATATAAATATTTGGTTTGATTAATTCTATATTTTCAAAATATAAATGATAACAACCCAATTTAGTAAATATTACAATGCAAAAAGTTGTATATGATATATATGTCAAACACTTTCTATTGTTTTCAACGTCGTTATCATTTCATGATATTATATGAGCATTGTCTTTCACTCACAAGGCATCATCAGGCGAATCAGCTAATATCCAACCAAGTCGGCCAGGTGTGATATTGAAACAGAGTTGTTAAATTATTTAATGAAATTATAAGAGAATGTTTGATCTTATGCGGGATGACATGAAGAGTTCTTACATGCATCCCACCCAACTCTGCTGACTCACGTTTCTGTATCTTGCACGCTCAAGAACAACGACGCCTTTTATTTTAGATGAAGGCATTCAGTAAGAGATCAGATTTTTTCTCCAAATGCCTACTGATAAATACAAATGCAGACCACACAAGTGAAAAATAAAGACGACCGATTGTAAAATTGAGCTACGTCATAAAATACATTAAAAAGACCAACCTGATATAAGAAATGATTGATTCATCTCTTGAAGATGGCTTTCTTGTGAGGAAACACAGTGTAGTGAACATGACAGAAATATGAAATTGTATACAATTTGTATATACCAATTTGCTTTCATTCGCATAGTATATACATAATGTGACATGTAGTGTATTTGAACAGTGATTTAAATTTCCAAAATTACAAACGATGGGAAATTAATTTAGGTAAAATAACTAATTAATTTACCTTGAGTTTTATCGTAACTTTCTGAAAAGATTTGTAGTGAACGAGTTTTCTTTCAATTGAGCACTCGTAGCTTCCTACGCTTTCAGGTGTTATGTTAATTGGCAACTTGCAGTCTCTCCCGCATTTCTTTTCTCTCTTACCATTTCTTTTCCATGATCTTCTGTAATAATTTTCTATTAAATATGAAGGGCCAATAAGCTTGCAATTCAATGTAACACGTTCCTTGTAATCATATATTGTTTTGTCTGGTTCTTTGTGATTAAAGGTACTTGATAGGATGGAATTTCTGGAATATACAAAACAGTGATTCAATTTCAGGCCTGAGTAATTTTACAAAACAACGATCAAGTCAAAAAAAATAAATTGAGAGGTTGAATGAAATGTCTTCAAAATTTTCTTGTTAAAGCAAAAACTATTAACTGGGTTAAGAGTAATTTGGGATATCATTTATCGTATTGAGTCGTCTTACTTGATTGAACCATGACATTGTAGCGCACTTGGCAACGGTTGCAGGTGTATATATCTGATTTTGTCAAGTTTGTAACATTGAAAACATTTTTGCTCAAAATTTTTATTTGGTTGTTGTCTATATGTAAAATTTTTTGTTTGCTGTTCAGAATTTGAGCATTTAAATCGTTGTGATTTAAATTGCAATTAAACATAACCCATTCACCAGGAAGTATGTATATTGGTATCGGTCTCCTGATAAACATGAAAAAACACAAATTTAGCGTAAATTATTTGTTCAAAGATGCAATTTTCGTAAACATCGCAGATAACGGTAAATTGAAATTGAGAGAAAACATTCATAAAAATAGTACTGAGTCACTTTCAATGAAAGATATAGTATATATATATATATATATATACAAAGTGTATAACAATGTGACGTACAGTGGTCTTATATATATATATATAAGGACAGTTTGAACAATTGATAAATATAGTTGTAGTGATATGTGTAGAAATAGTACATTTATGGTTATTGCTTGGGTCACGGGCTTATTGATTAGTGGTGTAAAAACTTCCAAAGTCATGAGGTCTGTTTCCATATCATACATCAGAATATACATGCTAAGATCTTTTTGGCCAATTATTGTCTGTTGAATTGATTGCTTCAGTGTATGTTATTGCCGTGAAGGAAACTGGGAGAATGTGTTTGCCCAGTCATTCTTTTAACAAATTTCGGAATTTTCAATTAAAAGCAAAACTTTTTGAGGAGTGGGGTGGGTAGTTGTACAATTATGCAAATTCTAAACAGCTAAGCACGTACTTGTTTCAAGAAATGGGAACGTATCAAAGGAAATACTAAAAACAGATATATTGCGGATAAAACTTTTATAACCTTTTCGACACATTTAGATTAGCCTAGAGTAGAATTTTTCCCTATGAAAACTTTTTTCTTAACAGAAATCATTGATGTTGGGCTTTTAAATTTTCAGAAAACTTGCTTGAAACTTTATCTACAAAATAGCATTTTAAGAATAAGAAATTTTAAACGTGTATTCCCCCTAACAACGCTCGTGCTTTTACACGTTTAGCCTTTACATAGTTCCCCTTTCTGTCTGAAGACCTGACGATGCCACTGAATCGGTTTTTTTTAAATTATGTTTTGGTGTGATTTGATTTTTTTAAAGTTAACCACTTTAGCAGCTAACTTAAATGAAAATCTCAGTATTTGCCAAGTGCATACTAGTTGGAGGAACTCAAAAGAACATTAAGCATTTTGTGATAAAAATATTCTGCTGTTATACTTCATAATAGTAAAAAGAAATTCTCAATAAGTTACAACAAAGACTAAGATTTGACTCCATCATTAATTTTCTTAAGAAATGTTATTTCATTCATTGTTTTTGGCAAATGATCAAAAACTAGACAGAAATATGAAATTATACAATTTGTATATACCAATTTGCTTTCATTTGCATGGTATATACATAATGTGACATGTAGTGTATTTGAACAGTGATTTAAATTTCCAAAAATTACAAACGATGGGAAATTAATTTAGATAAAATAACTAATTAATTTACCTTTGAGTTTTATC